CTTTTGGTTTTGTTTTATTGTTTCTTGATTTCTTATAAAGTCAATAGCTTCCATCTCCTCCATTTTAATTTTTAAGGAATTATTTTCTTCGGTGAGCTTTTGGACTTCCTTTTCCTTTTGGCCAGTTCTGCTTTTTAAGGTGTTCTTCTCCTCATTGGCTTTTTGGACCTCTTTTTATCATTTTGTGTAGTCTGTTTCTTAAGTTGTTACTTTTTTCAGTTTTTTTTAATGTGTCTCCTTTATTATGATGTTGACTCATTTTTTATGATTTTCTCTCCTCACTCTCATTTCTCTTCCCAATTTTTCCTTTACCTCTCTTACTTGATTTTAAAAATTCTTTTTGAGCTCTTCCATGGCCTGAGATCAATTGATATTTTTCTTGCAGGCTTTAGCTTTGTTGTCTTCTAAGTGTTTGTTTTGATCTTCTTTGTCACCAGAGTAACTTTCTATAGGCAGAGTTTTTCTCTTGTTTGCTCATTTTTCCAGCTTAACTTTTGACTTTTTGTTAAAGTAGGGCTCTGCTTCCAGGGTGGAGGGCACACTATCCCAAATTTCAGGGGTTTTTTGTAGCTTTTTTCAGAGATACTTCTAGGGACCTGTAAGTTTTCAGTTCTTCCAAGGTGGTAAGGATCTAAGGAGTGGTGTTTGCTACTCTCCTGGCCTGTGCTCTGGTCTGTGAGTGACCACAAGTATTCTTTTCTGCCCTGTAACTGGGTGAAGGGTCCCACCTCCACTGTGGTCACAAGCTCTGCTGTACTGGTGCTCCTCCTTACCTTATTCTGTGGTCTGAGAGCTTCAGAAGCAGCCACTACCACTGCAGATTCAGTCACTCCCAATGCTGCTACTGGCTTCCAGGGGTGAGAACTGTGCTTGCACGGCCTGCACTAGACTATGCTCCACTCTCCCTCAGGTGTGACAGAATCTTCCTGTTGACTTTCTAAATTGTCTTTGGTATCTGTGGGCTGAGAGGTCTGGAAAGCATCACTGCTGGCAGTGATTCAGTCTCCCAGGTGCCTGCTCTGGGTTTTGTGAGACCGAATCTCTGCTGGGATGGACCGCTCTGGAGTGTGCTCCTGTCTCACTCTGGTGCAACAGTCCTTTCCTGCTAAACTTCAAGTTGTCTTGGGCTGGAAATTTGTTTCATTCCATCATTTTTGTGGGTTGTGCTGCTCTAGAATTTGTTTAGAGTCATTTTTAAAGGCATTTGGAGGGGTTTGAGAGCTCAGGTGAGTCACTGCCTTTATTCAGCACATCTTGGCTCCACCTCTCTCTTTAGGTTTTCAGAAGACTACTATCTCCAGGTTCTCCTCCCATTTATCTGACTGCTCCTTCAGTATCCTTTTGTGGATCCTCCTTCAGATCATGCCTTCTAACCATAGGTGCCCATTAGGATTCTGGAGTCTCTTCTCTTCTCCCTCAATACTACTCCATTTGCTGATCTCATTAGTTTCCATGGATTTGATTACCATCTCTACGTTGATGATTCTCAAATTTACCTTTCCTGCCCTATATTCTCTACTGACTTCCAATCCCAAATCTCCAACTGCCTTACAGATATTTCAGACCAGATGTCTAGTAGATATCTCAAAGTTAATATGTCCAAAATTGAATTCATTATCTTTTCCTCTAAACCTTTCCCCACTTCCTAATTTCTTCATTATTGTAGCAGGCAACATCATCCTTCCAGTCCCTCAGGCTCACAACCTATGAGTCATCCTTTGATTCTACCTTTTAAGCATCTCTTGAACATGCCCTCTTCTCTCCTCCAACACTGCCACGACTTTAGTGTTGGCCCTTATTAGCTCACATCTAGATTATTGCTGTAGCCTGCTGGGGAGTATGCCTGCCTCAAGTCTCTTCCCACTCCAATCCATCCTCCATTCAGCCACTGATGTGATTTTTCTAAAACACAGGTCTGATCATTTTGTCCTTCTGCTCATTTAACTCTGGTGGCTTCCTATGGCCTCTAAGAACAAATAGAAAATGCTCTGTTTGGCATTCAAGTCCCTTCATAACCCAGCTCCCTCCTACCTTTCTAATCTTCTTACTCCTTACTTCCTGACACATACTTTTTGATCCAATGACACTGGCCTTCTGGCTGTTTTAAGACCAAGACACTCTGTCTCTTGGCTCCTGGCATTTATTCTGGCTTTCCTCCATGCCTAAAATGCTCTCCCTCCTCCACTCCATGGTTTCCTTTAAGTGCCAACAAAGTCTCATCTTCTACAGAAAGCTTTCCTCAACTCCCGTTAGTTCCAGTGCTTCCCCTATGTTAATGATTTGCTATTTCTCCTGTATATAACTTGCTTTGTATAGATTTGTTTGCTTGTTGTCTTCCTCATTAGATTGTAAGCTCCTCAAAGGCAGTGACTGTTTTTTTGCCTCTTTTGTATCCCTAGTGCTTAGCACAGTGCCTGGCACATAGGAGACACTTAGTAAGTATTTATTGATTGATATTTGATTGAACTTAGTGGGGTGAATGCTTTGTAGCAATCTGAGGAGCTGTCCAACAATGAATTGAGCTGGCTGCCAAGACCCTGTGGCCTACAAGCAGGGGAGCAATCTCTATCCTGGCTGTGATCTTGGTGGGAGGAATGTTTTGTACCAACCACTTTAAGTTTGAGCTCACTCTGCCCTGGGGGCCAGTTAGAGAGGGGAGAGCTTGTTCAGGTTCTGAGAAATGTTATATTTCAATTCTTGCTATATCTTTTGAGCAAATATATATTTATTAAAAAAAAAAAACAAAGAAGCTCAAGGTAAGAAGGTAAGAATTCAGGTTAAAACAGGTTGAGAAGCAAAAAGTTGGAAGTGTTGATAGCCCTTTCTTGGAGTTTTGCTGTGAAAGGGAGAAGAAATAAAAGATGATAGCTTGAGAGGATAGCATGGTCAAGTGAAGGTTTCTCAGAGTTTGAGTGAGGCAGGCATTTTTTGTGGGTGCTGAGGAAGAAGCCAGCAGATAAAAAGAGAATGATCATGAGAGAAAGAGGGAATGGTTGGAGAGGCTAGCTCTCTGAAGAGATGAGAGAGAGAAGAATCAAGAACATGAATAAAAAGGTGTACTTGGCAAGGAGAAGGGCCACCTTTTCATCATATACTGGAGTATACATAAGTTCTGTTTTGGATACATTTACACAAAGATGAGGAAATTGAGGTAAACAGAGATTAAGTAAATTGCCTAGGTTCACACACCTAGTAAATGTGTGAGGCCAAATTTGAACTCAGGTCCTCCTTACTCCAAGTCCTGCACTCTTGCCACTGCCCACATAGCTACTATCTGTGTAACCTTAGTCAAGTCATTGTCTCTCCTTAGCCCTCAGTTTCCTCACATGTAAAATGAAGAATCACAGAATTAGAGCTAGAGGAAACTTACAAGTTATGAAGCCCAAGACTCTCATGTTACAGATAAGAAGCCTGTGGTCTAGAAAGGACCAGTGATTCATCTTCACCTACAAAGAGAGCTAGTTCAGTATCAGAGATGAGATGTGTACTCAGGTCCTCAGACTCTAGAACCAGGATTCTTTTCACTGCATCACACCACACTGCCTCCTTAAGGGTCAGACTACATGGACTGTGTGTGAGGTCTTTTCCAGCTCTACATTTATGGTGGTATAAACTATGTTTTGTGTCTTGTTTTCCACCATGAGATTGTAAGCTCCTCAAGGGCAAGGATTCATTTTCTTTTTTGTATTCACAGTGCCTAGCACAGTGATTGGCACAGAGTAGGCACTTAATAAATGTTTATTGAACTGAATTAACTAATCAAAAGAAAGGAAGGAATTGAAATAGACTTGAGTATGGATAGTCCCCAGCTGCTAATTTTGGATTTTGTAACATCCTGTCATAGTGGGTAGAGCACTGGAGCTGGAGTTCAGGGAGACCTGGATTCAAATCTTGTCTTTGACACCTGCTGAACATTTGACCTCCCTAAGTCTCTGGCAGTTTCTCCAACACTAAGTTCTAGATAGGATTGGTGGTATAGTTTCCCTCAGCCATGATATCACTGTATTTGGAATGTTCTATACAAATATTTGGCTGAAAAGGCTTGGCCTTCTAAAACTTGTGTGATTCTGGCTGATATTACCATGATATTCCCCTTTGTAGTACGTAGCTTAGAGACATGTGGAGCCTAAGGTGCTCATGACAGCGGGGATCCTGGAGGCAGCTGACATGGAAGGTGAGTCAGCTCAGCTGGAAGCAGGGGGAGGGGTTTGGGAAAGGGTTTTGGTCTGCTCACCCCCTCCCCCAGTCAGCAATTGGGTTATTAGATTCAATGACTTATCAAGCACTCATTCAACACCTACTGTGAGGAAGGCAGAAGTAGCTCTGAAATAGAAGCTTCTTCTCTAGGCAGGCTTGTACTATATGGCTTCCAGTGGAACCCACTTTCAGTTCAGAGATTCTGTGTTTCTGAGCCTTTCAGAGGAATAGTGACAACTTGGAGGAGCTGAGTGTGCAGATAGGAGAGGGCAAAACCATGGTTCTTTCGCCTGCATTCTTTTCCTCCCTCTCTTCCCCATCCTATTTGACCAATTCAGAGCAAATTTCCTTCATACCAACAACGGAGGACTGATGAAAATAAAAAACAAAACAAAACCCCAAACCCAACATTTTATTGATAGTTTTTTTTCATATCACTTCCTAATAACGACCCTTCTCCTCATAACAAAGAGTAAATGTAAAACAAACCAAACCAAATGTCCCCACAGCATCAGACTACAGGTGCAGATTCCACATCCCTCCCTTTCCACCTCTCTCCTGAGAGAAGGGAGATGGGTTTGGTCATCAGCCCTCTGGAATTGAGGGTGGTAACTACATTAGATGCTGGGTCCAGAGTAAGCAATTACTAAAGGTATGTCGATTAATCTGAGTTCTGATGTCAAAGCAATACTGCTCAGAAAAGGAAATGTGAAAAGCTGTGGATTGGGGGGTGATGGCTTTGGAATTGGAGTTTCGAGGCTGCTTCTTAATCAGTTCTTCCTGAGGAAGGGGAAAAGAAACTCTCAGCATTTAGGTGTATCCTCTGAGCACTGGGAAGTTTTGAAGTAGCGATACTTGACACTGTAACTCTTCAGGTTTTTCTTCATACAGTAGGCAACTATTCGATCACACACACAGATTTGCTTCTGACAGTAGTTCCCAGACCCTATGAGTTCACAGAAATGAGTGAGCCAGAAGTGTTGGTAATTTTCTTTTCTATTCACACCCCTCAGGCTGCCCCACCAAGCTGAGTCCCTTTACTGGGTTCTTTGATGGAAACACAGTGCTTTCCCCAGGGGAAGCCCCTTGTCTGAGGAAAGAGTGCAAGCTTTTGTTTTCAGGGAGTTTGGAGCAGTGCCCTTCCAGACACCATTTTAGAGTTCAACACATCTGGAGTGCTCAGTGGTGCCTGATTGTATTGTGCTATCTCACCACAGATGATGAATCCATCTTGGTACTCATAATTGTAGGTCTGTATTTTGGGGATGCAGCCTTTCTTCCTCAGCTTTGAATAGCAGCAGTCATGGAAGAAACAACACCTAAAGAGAGGAGCCCTGCTGAGTGCTGTCCCCCTCTCCTATTGGGGAGCAGGTGGTCAGCCAACAGGACACTCAGACAGGCAAGTTGGTGAGGCAGTCTGCTGTGGTGGAATGAGCCCTGGTCTGGTAGCCATGACATCTGGGTTATTAGAACCATTGTTTTCTCATCTGTAAATGAGGGGATTGGACTACATGGTCTCTAAGTAATTTTCAATTCCAAATCTCATTCTATTTAATAGAGAGCCTCTGATTCTGAAAACTTACCTGGTCCCAGTCCTTCCTATTACCTCTTCTTAAGGACTGCAAGGGCATCTATAGAAAGACCCCAAGAAGTGCTAGAGCAGAACACTCTTCTATAATTTTTCCCTAGAAATGCATTTCTTTGGTGCCCCTGCCTTGTGCCCTACCCATTAATTTGCGTTTCCTGTCAGTGCTGCTTGAAGTGATTCCCAAGGAAGCTAAGGTAACCACCCTGGCAGGGCTGGGGAACAGCAGCTTACCTGTCAGTAGCATCCAGGGGGGTTCCTTTGCCTCCCCAACCACAGTGGCAACCATAAAAGCCATAGTCAATCAATGCATTCTTCCCTGTGAGCTTCCCAATCATATTTTTGAATTGTATCAAGTTCCCTTGTACCTCAGATAAGCCTGCAAAGGAGACCAGTGATCCCCACTCAGATGTGGCCACCTTTCTGTCTTATTTTTCCACTCCTGCTGTAGTCTGTCCTTCCCCACCCTTCATCTGAGGGGAGAATCTTGTTTTCTCTATTTTCCTCCCAGCCTCTAAGAAGAAGTGGTCAACAATCAATTAGGATTTGCAAGTTTGAAGGAATGGGGAATGCTAGGGAGCCCAAGAGATGCTGGGGGAGGCACTTTTTATACAACCCAAGAGTTGTCCCTCTTGGGGCTGATTCCTGGAAGAAGTCAGTCATATGGTCACTTCTTACCACAAGCCATTAGTGCAGCTAGCAGAAAGATGATCTTCATTTTGAAGCCTCTGTAGGAGAAAGTATAAAGCTGATGTTTATCTCCTCAGCTGAGGTCCTCACATTCCTGCTTTACCCCTGGGGCTGCCACCCCAACCTGCCATCTGGGAGGGGAGACTAGGTCCTTACTCTTATTGGTAAGGACCACAGGAACCATCTACCTCAACCTCTACCTGATCAAGAAATCCCTGTGAAATTTCTATTGGCACAGAAACATATTACCCAGGCACCTCACCCCTCCCCTCAGCCCCCAACTCTCTGTTAGCTACATGAATGCACAATTTATATCCTCTAGACACATATTTTAATTCAAGTACAGAAATAAACACTCAGACCAAATCAATCCGCACACTCATTACAATAGCCAGGGCCACAGAAATACAGAGACAAATCAATACATACAGAGTATTACTGGCATAGACAAATGTACTCAGACCCTCTAAACCAGAGATTCTTAACCTTTTTTTATGTCCTGGATCCTTTTGGCAGTCTGGTGAAACTTATGGACCCATTCTCAGAATCATGTTTTTAGATGCATAAAATCAAATGCATAGGATTATAAAGGCAACCATATTAAAAGTAATCAAAATATTTAAAAACTACAAGTTCACAGATACCAAGTTCAAGAACCCCTTCATGCTCTAAACATATCTCATAATGTAGAATCACAGAAACACAGACACATACTCTCTGACTTTGATAAATAGGCCTTTAGGGCTCCAGACATCTTCGGCTGTTTCTTGGTTCAATCTGTCCACTGCAGGGCTCTTGAGCCTAATTGATCCTCAAGGCTGAGAAGCTTCACATAGAGATCCAGGAGAACCCACTCCCTCAGGTACTAATTCCCAGAAACCTGCCCAACACCAAGAGTCCATGATGTAGGAAGAAGTGGTGAGACCAGAGTCTCCTCTGGGAGTCCACAAGGAGCTCCTCCAGGTCCCCCAGGAGCCATTCCTCCAGAGGGGAAGGCAGCTTTTTTTGATGGCATTATAGGTGACAGGCTAAGTGCTGACACTTGGGTTAGATTTAGGGATTTTTTGTCTTGAGGATGATTGGGTTACACACTCACCTTCCAAGTCAGCACTCTCCATCCTGCCTCAGAATTTGGACTGTGGCCATTGACAACTCTGTAAACATTTGTCAGACTACTTAGCAAAGACCCATTCACTCATTCAGCACTCCAGTCAAGTGTCCACTCTGTCCAGAGCCCTCTATGAGGTGTTTTGGTTATAGTTGGGTGGTGGCAGACAGAGCAGCAGCAGAGAGAGGCAGAAAGATAAGGCAAAAATAGAGGTTAGAAAAAGGAAGAGATAAAGATCCTACACATTTGAATTAATAGGGAGTCACTAGAATTTATTGAGTAGGGAAGTAATATGGTTAGACCTGCACATCAGGAACATCACTTTATGATTTTCATGGAGGATAGATTAGACAGGGGAGATATGAGGCAGGGGGATGGATTAGGAGGTTACTGCAATTGTCCAGCTGAGAGATGAGGATGGTTTCAATTAGGGTGGTGACTATGAGAGTGGACAGAAGGAGACAGATAGGAAAAACTGTTGTGGAGATAAAATGATTTGGTAACATTGGATGTGTGTGACTAAGTATAGTGAGAAACCCAAGATAGTAACAGGGATGAGATCCTGGGGACTAGAAAAATATTCACAATGCTCAGGGGAAATTGGGAACTTCAGAGGTGGTAAAGGTAGTGAGTTTTGTTTTGGATCTGTTGTGTTTCAGATGACTTTGGGACATCTGGTTATAAATAGGCAATCTCTTGATGAGAGGGGGGGAGGGGAGGGAGGTAGGGAGGGAGAGAAAGAATGTGAGAACTGTGTATACAGAACTGTGAGCTAACTTCATGGAGAAGAGAATTAAAGCCTTGGGAGGTGATAAAGGCACCAAATAAGAGAGTATTCAGAGAGAAGAAGGCTCAGAACAGGACCAGAGAACACCCATATATAGGGGCAATGATATGGAAGAAGATCCAGCAAAGGAGACTTAGGGGTGGTGAGATAGGTAACAGGACAACCAAGAGAAAGTAAAGTCATCCCAACTTAAAGAGGAGATTGTAAGTATCCAGGAGGAGAGAGGGGTCAACGGTATCAGATAAGAAAAATTAAGACTGAGAAAAGACCAACAGACTTGTCAATTAAGAGATTTTGGTCTTTGAAGAGACCAGTTTTAATTGAGTTATGACTCAAAGATAAGGAGGAGGCTGAGATAATGGGAGACTGGAAGGACAGTGTTTCCTTCAATGGAAACAGGCAAATTTGGAAAAGAGGTGGATCATGGGCAGGGCTTGTGGGGAAAGAAAATACAATTGCAACTGATCTTCTCATCATGTGCTGCTCACATTTTTCCTATTGAAATTGCAAAGTGTGTCGGGTATGGAAAAGATTAAGTAAAGGAACTTCCCTGGAGAACAGAGCCTACTGTTGTGATGCAAAAGATAGCTTGTGAGGATGTTGGAGGGAAGTGGCTGGTGTGGAAATTTGCCAGTGAGCATCCACAGGTTTCTGTGTTGTTTGCTTATGGAAGCCTTGAGGGGCTGGAACTCAGTACAGCAACTGAAAGCCAGCTGTGGGGGCTGTTGAAGATGGTTTTGTCGCAGATGAGCCCACAGTAGTCTGGGATCAAGTTACTGAAACCTTGTGAACATACTCCATGGTCCATTATGGGGTCCTGGCCCCATTTTAGATGACCACTGTTGTATAAAGAGACATTTTTCTATGGAGGAAGGTTGACTGGTCCTTCCCTGTTCCTTTCTTGTTCTCTTGGGCAGGTTAGAGGGGCATGTGATTCTGGGACACTCACTATACTCATACTATCTGGGGAAAATTCCTGATTTCACCTTTTCTAATGTGCATTTTTTTTCTGATGTGGTATACAAGTCTACCAGCTTCTGAGCTGACATTATAGCCTGGCTAAGATGGCTCTCACCCCACATAAACAATCTATTCACTTCCGGCTTTCCACTATCTTCTTCACCTTGAAGGCTGGAATCCTGCCTTATTCATGTCTCTATCCCCTACTGTGTTGGCAGAGAACTTTGCACACAGGACATGCTCAATAAATATTTTCAAATGATTTGAATTCAATAAACATTTATAAGACCCCTGTTACCTGCAAGATCTTGTGCTGTGCATTGGGGATACTGAGATGGAAAACAGCATGGTTTTTCCTCTTAAGGACCTTACACTGTAATTAGAGTGGGAGAGACCATATAGAGAAATAGAAGCTAAGAAAGGGAACTGATGGTGATAATGGCACACTGTAGATCAAACAGAAGGAAAATTCCAGGGATACTTTCATTCAGTCATATATTTATGTATTCATCTATCAAGCAACTATTTATTGAAGTCTTTTGTTTCTTACAAAATATGAAATATCCATAGTTTTTCCTCTGAAAGAATCCATCTCCATAATGAAAACTCCAAATAAATTAGTAGCCAATATTAGTTTCTAAACCAAAAGGAAAGGAAAGGAAAACTGACATTGTTATGGTATTCCTCCTCTTTCCCCTTCCAAGTAGCCATACCAAAAAATAATTTTTAAAAGGGACCCCCCCCTCCAAACTGATAGATGTAATGAAAAAATCTGAAAGAAACATGTGCAATGTATAACACTCTGGGACCTTCTGCCTCCATGAAGGGTAGGGGAGGGATCCTCTCATATCTCTACATTTGAATCCTGCTTGATCTTTATAATTTTGTTACATTCACTTTTTTAGTGTGTTCTTTCCATTTACAGTGTTGTGGTTGTGTTTATTGTTCTCTTGGTACTGCTTCATTCACTCTGTATCAGTTCATGAAGATCTTTCTATGCTTTTTTGTATTTTTCACAAATACTTCTTTGCCTTCCCCTCCCCTCCCCTAACCCTCCCCTCCCCTCCTATCTCCTTCCCTTCCCTTCCCTTCCCTTCCCTTCCCTTCCCTTCCCTTCTCTTCCCTTTGGGGGTACTGAACTTCCCCTTTCTGGTAATTTGAAGAATGTAGTTTTTGGTCTAGAAACTAAAGTTGGCTATTAATTTATTTGGAGTTTTCATTATTGGAATTCTTTCAGGAGGCAAATTATGGATATTTCATATTTTCATTTTATCCTTTGGTTCTAATAGGTTTGGTTAGTTGCTAGCCATGATTAAAAAAGAGATAATATTTTATTTATTTATTTTCCCAATTACATGTAAAAACAATTTTTAGTGTTCATTTTTAAAAATCTTGAGTTCCATATTCTCTAGCTAGATATTCGTATGCTAAGGAGAAATTGGGAAATTCAGAGGGGTGTGGTATTGAGTTTTGTTTTGGACATGTTGAGTTTAATATGGCTTTGGGCCATCTAGTTAGAAATAGGCAAATCTTGATGTGTGTGTGTGTGTGTGAGAGAGAGAGAGAGAGAGAGAGAGAGATTTGAGAACTATATATACAGAACTGTGAGAACTGTATATACAGAATGTCTTCCCTGAGATGGTTAGTAATTTGATACAGGTTACACATGTGCAATAATGCAAAACCTTTCCACGTTAATTATGTTGTGAAAGAAGACACAGATCAAACACACACACACACACACACACACATAAAGTGAACAATATTATGCTTTGATCCATACCTTGTTCATACTCCATCAGATCTTTCTCTGAAGGTGTCTAGCATTTTTCATCATGAGTCCTTTGGAATTGTCTTGGAACATTGTAATGCTGAGAATAGCTAAATCATTCAGAGCTGATTATTGTACAATATTGTTGTTACTGTGTACAATGTTCTCTTAGTTTTGCTCACTTCATTCTGAATCCATTCATGTAAGTCTTTCCAGGTTTTTCTGAAATCATCCTGCACATCATTTCTTATAGAACAATAGTAATCCATCACAATCATATACCACAACACGTTCTGCCATTCCCCAACTGATGGACATGCATCATTTCTTACCCCACAATAATATTACATTATATTTATGTATACAATTTGGTTAGATGTTCCCCAACTGATGAATATCTACTTCCATTTCTTTGTTATCACAAAAAGTGTTGCTATAAATATTTTGGTGTATATGGGCACTTTCTTCCTATTGATGGCTTCCTTGGAACATAAGTAAACCCAGTAGTGGAGTTTCTGGTTCAAAGAGTATGTACATTTCAGTCACTTTATTTGCATTATTCCAGATGGATTTACAAAATGTTTGCAAAATGTTTATACCATTTCACAGCTCCACCAACAATGTATTAGTTTAGCTATCCATTCTACACCTCCTCCAACATTGAGTATTGCCATTTTTTGTCATCTTTGCCAATTTCAGAGTGTGAAGTGAAACTTCAGGGCTGTTTTGATTTGCTTTTTGTTATTATGGAAAACATTTCTTATGATTTGGAGAATTCTTTAATTGGCTACGAATACTCTGCTGTTCTTTTGAAAAGTGTTTGTTCAAATGAATTGACTAAACTTATCTATTGGGGAATGATTATTAGTCATATATACATGTATATATGTATATATGTATATATACACGTATATATGTATATATACACACACACACACACACACACACATATATATATATATATAAACTTGGATACCACTTATTTGATACATTTTTTTTTCACTTGCCCACTTCCTTTCTAATCCTATATGTATTAATTTTGCGTGTGAAGAAACTTTCCATTTTCATGTAATCAAAGTTATATATTTTATCTCTCATAACTGCCTCTATCTCTTGTTTGGTCAAGAATACCTCTACCTTGTTAACTAAAACTGTAGCAAATCTGACCTCAGGGACCTTCCTCAGAGCTGTTGATTCTGACCTTATACAAAAGTACTTAAGAGATGGGCTGAAACTCCTTCAAGAATTGTTACAAGTAGCTGAGGAACATGCTGTGTTGATTGTCTTCATTGATGAAATTGATATCATTGGAACCAAAAGGCATGATTCAAATTCAAGGGGAGAAAGGGAAATTCAATGAAAGATGTTGGAATTGTTGAACCAGTTGGATGTATTTGACTGTAGGAGAGATATGAAAGTGATTATGGCTACAAAATGGATAGAAACTTTGGATCGAGCACTGATCAGACTGGGATGTATTATCCAGAAGACT